CCAGGCAACACGTCACCTGTGCCCGTGCGCGATCCGAGCGTGCCAGTCGAGGAGGATTCGCCGCTGACGCTTCATTGGATGGAGGCGGGCCGGGATCTTCTGCGGCTGTTGATCCAGTACACGGCGACACACCAGCACGTATGACTACACGTGCACAAAGAGGTATTTTGAAACCATCAAAGTTTAAAGATGGAACAGTAAGGTATGACAAGAATTTCAAGTTTGCAAATTTTGCCTCCACTGGTGAACCACAAAGTTTAACAGAGGCGTTGAGTAATTGTGATTGAAAAAATGCTATGAATATAGAATATGATGCACTCATGAGAAACAAGACTTGGCACTTAGTTCCCTCGAAGCAAGGGAGGAATGTAATAGATTGTAAGTGGGTGTACAAGGTCAAAAGAAAATCTGATGGCACAATAGACAGGTACAAGGTTAGACTAGTGGCTAAAGGTTTCAAGCAACGCTATGGTATTGATTATGAAGATACATTTAGTCCAGTTGTTAAGGCTGCTACTATCAGACTTGTTCTATCTATTGCTGTTTTCAGGGGTTGGAGTCTTCGTCAATTGGATGTTCAAAATGCGTTTCTACATGGCGTTGTCGAGGAAGAGGTTTATATGCGGCAGCCACCTGGATTTGAGGATGGCTCAAAACCACACCATATATGTAACTTGGACAAGGCCTTGTATGATCTAAAGCAGGCACCCAGAGCCTGGTATTCAAAACTGAGCATGAAGCTGCAACAGCTTGGTTTTCGAGCCTCTAGAGGAGATACTTCACTGTTCTTCTTCAAGAAAGGGAAGGTGATCATTTATATGTTAATTTATGTTGATGATATAATTGTTGCCAGTTCATCTCAAGATGCTACCTTGGCCTTGTTAAGAAACTTGAGAAGTGAGTTTGCACTCAAGGACCTGGGAGAGTTGCATTATTTTCTAGGCATTGAAGTTAAAAATATGCATGATGGTATTATGTTGACTCAAGAAAAATATGCCAAAGATATAATCAAGCGTGTAGGCATGAAGGATTGTAAGCCTTCCACTACACCTGTGTCAACTATTGATAAGTTGTCATTGCATGAAGGAAAAATACTAAGTTCAGAAGAAGGGACTAAGTATAGGAGCATAGTTGGTGCACTTCAGTACTTAACTCTGACTAGACCTGATATATCTTTTGCTGCAAACAAAGTTTGTCAGTTCTTACATGCTCCTACTTCTGTACATTGGACAACAGTAAAAAGGATATTAAGATATATTCAGGGAAGTTCTGGAATAGGGCTAAAATTGTGTAGATCTCCATAATTGCAATAAGTGCATTCTTTGATGCAGACTGGGCTGGTTGCCTAGATGACAGGAGGTCTACTGGAGGTTTTGCCGTTTTCCTTGGGTCTAATCTTATATCTTGGAATGCAAAGAAACAAGCAACAATGTCACGTTCCAGTACTGAAGCAGAATACAAGTCACTGGCTAATGCAACTGCTGAGGTAATGTGGATAGAAACCTTACTTGATGAATTGAGCATTGGAAGATCACATGTGTCACAACTTTGGTGTGACAATCTGGATGCAACTTATCTTTCTGCAAATCTTGTATTTCATGCAAGAACAAAGCATATAGAAATTGACTATCATTTTGTTCGTGAAAGAGTAGCACAAAAACTACTAGAAATACAGTTCATTCCAACATAGAGATCAAGTTGCTGATGGCTTCACTAAGCCTCTACAAGTTCGGCAGTTCCAAGCCTTCAAGACCAATCTGAACCTTGACATGGTAAGATTGAGGGAGGATGTTAAACGATAGGCTTGTAGAGAATGTATAGATAGAAATATGTGACAACATGTCATGTATGTGCTGTAACGCATACAATGTATTTGGTGCAGCAGGTTGTTAGCTAGATAGATCTTATTTTGGTATAGCTTGGAGTAGAGGTCAAGTGCAACAACCCGCGCCTTCTTGTAATCTGTCATGACTATATAACATGTATGCGTCCCTACCGAACAGCATACGCTTCTAGCCTTTCATTCTTTCACCCACGCCATCCATGTTCGTCACCTCTTACACTACTTATATTTGTAGGGGGGGAAATGCTTAACGTATTTTTCTTGTGACAGGTTCAACAGGTTGGTTCGCTCAAGCAGTTGAACACCACCGAGGAAAAAGAAAGAATCCGTTGTCTGCTTGGGTGTCTAATGCACTTGTTCTGTTCCAGCCTTTTCCATATCGCCTCTCTGAATTTCTTGCTGCTTGCTGAATGAATCCATGGCCTCGCTCTCGGGAACCTCCTGTACAGCAGGTTCCAGTGGGCCAAAACATAAAACTAGATTCCGCTGTAATTGTAAGAGGTTGTAGTCTGAAACCCGTTAGTGAAACTTTATAAGTAAATTATTGTGCAGTGATGTTGTATTTTTAAGAACGGATGCAGATTTGGTCCAACTGTCGATTGAACCGATATGCAATGCAATTCAATCGAGGCCTTGCAAGTCTTGATTAAGAAAGAAATAACTTTCAACAAATCTAAGTCAAGAATTTTGAGACGGAGGTTACATGTAGTACATGATTGAACACATGATAAGTCCCTTGATTAACAAGCGTAATGACTACTGTCATATTGTTAAAAGGGATTGCCCAAAACGTGAACCCCAGTAATTATCTCTTTTGCTTTTAGTTGGAATCCCAGTTATATTACTTAGCGTAATTCGATATTTATGAGTAGGTATTTTTCATGTACGTTTCCTTTTATCCTTCACCCGCGAACCTCACTCATCGCCTCTGTCTCGTTCCCTTTTCGCCGTGTTCGGCGGCCGCCATGGATTCGATCTGCCGTCGAAGCCCACGGGTTCGAGGCCAGCGCCGCCGCCGCAGCCGCGAAGCATGGCGCCCCTCCTCGCCGCCAGCCGCCTCTGCTTTTCCTGGGCGGCGCCTCCGGCGGCCCCGCCGTAGGGCCGCAGCGCGGGCGAGGGTGGCGTGCGGCTCGTAGCGAGGAAGAGAGGAAGGGGGCGTGCGACCGCCGTGCTGGGGCCGCGCCTCCTCCCCGGCGGCGACGCCTAGGATCTCCGAGGTTCGACCTCTCCTCTCCTCTGCACCACCTTCTTCCCCTCCGGCGGCCTGGGGTGCATATATTGATATTAACAATTGTTAATCCTGCCATCGGTGTGAAGCCTAGCATCTAGTGATGAGTCCCACTGTCAATTAATTAAACAAGTACGCGATGCGATCTTGGGTGCTGAACGGGAGCACATGCCACTCGATAGTCCCAACAAGCATCTACGCAGATCTATAGGTAGGTTAAATTTTGTGTTAGCATGTACTAGTACAATTGCTCGTTGAAGATTGCATTGGCATGTGCCTTCGTAGTAGATCGACAAATAGTGAAACTTCAGGCCTGACGAATCTTGATTAAGAATACTAGAACATGTGAAACGATCGAGGTCGCTAAGTAAACTTCCATTATCTATCTATATAAGCAGGACATAGGGGCTTGAAATCTGCATCTCAGATCCATCCACACACAAATGATCAGAGGAGAAGAAAGATGCTGGAACGGTACTGATGGAGGCCACTGAGGTGAGGATTGGCAAATCCGTGCTGAATGAGTGCTTGGGTACGCCAAATTCGCCATCATGTATTTGGTAGCTGGATTTTCTCACCCAACAAACATAATACAGGAGGATGTTAGGATTGGAAAACCCTAAAAATATTATATGTGGGCACATAAAAGTAAAAACATAGTAGAAATAAAAAAATTCATACAAATATTAGAAGGCAAGTGCGAACCTGTTAGCAAATATTATCTGACATAAATCAGAATCCATGGAATGGGGCCGGTCAATTCAGATTCTTGCAAGTTTGAGTACAAGCCAGAGATATGGAACTCCTAATTTTGTAAAACTAATATGTTTCAGAATTGTTATGATTTCATCCAATCCAGTATGTAGGTTTTTTTTAGGACATTGGCGTAGTCTTCAGGATGATTCTTTGAACATCAATTCTCGTGAAGACTTGTTGCCTCACATACAAATAACTACATTTTATTAATTATGTAGTTTATGATAAAATTTAGTACTTTTTGTTATCTCTTTTGATTTTGAATTGGAATCCCAGTTATATTACTTAGCATAACTTGATATTTTGTACTTTTTGATGTATATACATTTCTTTATTCTCCACCCGCGAACATCACTCATCGCCTCTGTCTCGTTCCCTCTTCGCCGTGCGGCGCCATGGATTCGATCTGCCGTCGGAGCCCATGGGTTCGAGGCTGCCGCCGCCGCCACCTGGCCTTAGCCGCGAAGCGTGGTGCCCCTCCTCTGCCAGCCGCCTCTGCTTTTTCCTGGGCGGTGCCTCCGAAGGCCCCGCCGTAGGGGAGCAGCGCGGGCGAAGGTGGCGTGTGGCTCGAAGCAAGGAAGGGAGGGAGGGGGCCGTGGCCGTGGCTGCTCCGACCGGCGTGCTGGGGCCGCGCTTCCTCCCCGGCGAGCGACGCCTAGGATCTGCGAGGTTCGACCTCTCCTCTCCTCTCCACCACCTTCTTCCCCTCGGTGGCGCTGGGGTGCTCTGCACATTGAAGTTAACAATTAGCAATTATTAATCCTGTCATCGATGTGAAGCCTAGCTAGTGACCAGTCCCACTGTCAATCAATTAAATAAATTGGTACGCGATGCGATCTTGGGTGCTGAACTAGAGCACATGGCGCACGCTAGTCCCAACAACCCATAACGTGCGTGCAGATCGATAAGTAGGTTCAAATTTGTGTTAGCATCCCCACTTGATCCTTGAACATCGCGTTAGCATGTGCATATGTAATAGATCAATAAATAGTCAACATGAGGCCTGGCGAATCTTGATTAAGAATGGAAGTTTTGAAACGATTGAGGTCGCTAAGTAAACTTCCATTATGTATCTACTAAGCAGGACATAGGAGCCTGGAACCTTGCATCTCAGATCCATCCACCAGCAAACACTCACGGGAGAGGGAGAGGGAGGAACCTCGATCGCTGACGATGGAGGCGACCGCGTTGAGCATCGGCAAGTCCGTGCTGAGCGGGGCCCTTGGCCTCGCCAAGTCCGCCGTTGCGGAGGAGGTGGCCCTGCAGCTGGGAGTACAGCGCGACAAGGCCTTCGTCACGGACGAGCTGGAGATGATGCAGTCTTTCTTGATGGTGGCGCATGATGAGCAAGGCGAGCACAACAAGGTGGTCAGGACCTGGGTGAAGCAGGTCCGCGACGTCGCCTATGACGTCGAGGATTCGCTCCAGGATTTTGTTGTTCGTGTGGACAAACTGTCTTGGTGGCGCATCCCTTGCATGCTTCTCGATCGTCGCCATGTTGCCAAGCAGATGAAGGAGCTGAGGACCAAGGTCGTGGACGTGAGCCAGAGAAACTTGCGCTACGGCCTCATCAAGGGGTCTAGCTCCACTCAGCCTGCTGCTGATGCTGCCCCTACTGCTGCTGATGCTGCTATGTTTGGCGTTGATGAAGCAAGGCAAGCTGCGAAGCAACACCAATCAAGATCGGATCTTGCCTGGCTGATCAGCACAGAGGGTGATGACCAAATTGGAGTCATTGGTGTATGGGGAACAAGTGGCAGTGTTGGGCACAGCTCCATCATCTCGGAGGCCTATGAGAATCCAAATATCAAACTTAGTTTTCCATGCCGAGCGTGGGTCAGGGTGGAGCGGCCTTTCCATCCAAACGAATTTGTCCGGAGTATAATGGAACAGTTTCGAGCAACTGCCATAGGTGTGGTTGATTTTCCATTGGAACTAGAGGCGGAGAAGGCGAGGCATGAGTTTGCTCATGAGTACAGTCGATATGTCAACAAGAAGAGGTATCTGATCGTTCTTACCGGATTATCCACCATTGAAGAATGGCATCGAATCAAAACTTGTTTGCTGGAAAACAAATTGGGGAGCCGCATCGTAGTATCCACAGAGCATGTTGAAGTTGCAAGCTTATGCCCAGGCCAGGAAAGTATTGTATCAGAGCTCAAGCAATTGTCTGCTGAACAAACCATCTATGCTTTCTACCGGCAGGTACTACTTAAGTTTTAAACGCAAGTTTACGATTTTCAATAGGACCACCCAAAATATGAACCATTATATCAGTTAGATGTAGTATATAGTGGCGAAGGGTAATCACTATGGAGCGTCTCGTGGGTAGGCTCAAATTAATTTCCGTGTTTGGACAAGGCAGGGAAGGGGGAATTCCTGGTCCAAACCCTCATCTGTTCCATCTTCCATGCGGGAAAGAATAAGTCCCCTAGGTGTGGAACGAAACCAGCTCTCGAATTGGGAACTCCCTGGACTACCCTGATGGTCCTAACTGGATACATTCTCAGCCTCCCTGGATTCCTCATCGACCTGCTGATACAGATGTCCTCTGCCCAGGTCCGTGGACGAGGTAATGCCTGTTCAGTGGAGAGGCATTTAGTGGGCATGCAGTGTGCAGGGAGCTGCCCAGAAAATGGGTGTAAATATGGATATTTCATCTGACAAATAAATGTTATTTGCAATGCTTTGATAAAAGTGTCAACGCAAAGTTTTTTTTGCATTTGTTTGACATTCAATTGTCCATGCTGTTCATATCATGCTGAGGGCTAAGGTTTTCAATAACTTTATGTTCTCTTGTAGTAATAGTCAACTTTGATGTAATTCATGAATAATTTGGGCTCGTGTTCTTTTTCGCCTTTTAAACTTCTAGACTACTTACATTATTTCTGGCGAAGTTAGCTTGTATACATACCAGTCGAGCTTTATGTACTATTTCTGGATCGTTGTCACATTAATATTCCTGTATAGCAAGAGACACGCTTGAGCTGACCCATCAGTATTATTTTGACTATCCATCATTACATTTTTATCTAACTCTTGTTTGCTTTTGTTCAGAGTTCTCATGGCGTTACATATCCATCAAAGCCAGCATCGTCTAGCTCAAAGTTACCCAACATCGCTGAGAATGAGATACAAGAAGACCAATCCAATGCTGATGTTGATGGAAATATCACAGTGCAAAAGAGGTTCACACGCACCTACACAATGACAGGTGTTCTGGAGGAATTTCAGCTTATTGGGCGAGAGAAAGAAAAATCTGATATAATTGAACTAATTGGAGAACAAGCTAGAACCCATCAATTTCAGGTGATAGTAGTATGGGGAATGGGTGGTCTTGGAAAAACCACTCTAATAAAAAATGTTTTCCAGAGCAAAGAGGTCAATGGCTTGTTTGAAAAATATGCTTTTGTCACGGTCTTGCGACCTTTCAAGCTTGAGGAGCTCCTTAGGAGCTTGGCATTGCAACTTGATGCAAACAAGGGATCAATGGACTTTGCAGGTGACACCCAAAAAAACATTGCTTTGATGGGAGTTGCAGACTTGATTGAAGTGTTGGGTCGACGTTCAGAAGGAAAGAGTTGTTTGATTGTTCTCGATGACCTCTCATCTACAACAGAATGGGATGAAATACTGCCAAGATTACGTACAATGAGAGATCTGGTCGTTGTGATCACCACAAGGCGAGAGGATATTGCTAAGCATTGTTGCAAAAAACCGAAGTGCATACACTTGCTCAACGGTCTTGAAGAAAATAATGCAATTACCCTGTTCACAAGAAAGGTAACGAAATAGTATTCTTTATATTATTCACCCTATCAGTTAGCAAAGAAAATCATTCCTTTTTATCTCAGTTCAATTTTTAGTTTTGAGAGGTCATTTCAAATTAGTATATTGAAGCAGATCACGACCAACCATCCTTGGAAGATATACTTTAAACTGGGTTGCAAAAGCGTAAGATTAGGGCACCATGACTCATGTTGTAGACTCTAGTTTCAACTATTTTAGTATTAAGCCAAAAAATTGATTACACCACATTACTCGGGTTAGGACATGTTTGTATTAGCAACAACCCAACAATGTTGCATGAACTCACCACTTTCCTTGTCAAATTATACACGAATCATTTTCTTCGACAAACCAGCAGGAGCTCTGTATTTTCATTAAGTAGAATAAGAACTGGCATGCTTACATGGAAAACTAGCCAAAAACGAACACATCAACCACACACACACACACCGGCCCCAAGGGCATGCAATGCACCATCCGAGATGACGGCTTCGGCACCCAAGTAACTAGAGCCAACCTTTACAACATGAGAACAATTTCTGATGCCATCAATTCTGCTTCCACACTGGCCCACACACCAATCGAGTCAGCAACTCTTATCACCTCAGTGACCAAAGTCGACACCCTTTAAAGTGCAACAGTCTTTCGAGTCAACGCTCCGGCCTTCGAATCTGAGCAACATGAACAGGCACCTGAGGCCGCGCATCGATTCTGCCACCCAAGCGACTGGAGGTGACACCCTACAAATGGGGAAGATCTCCTGAGTCATCGCTATCGCTTCCACACCGGTCCAAGGGGTAGAGTACCAGCTCGGTCGATGACTTTGTCACCCATACGACTAGAGCTGACGCCCTACAACACCCAAGTGTATCATGTTGGTTTCTGAAGCCACCGCTCCGACTTCATCTCAACACACTCCTGGTGCCCAAACCCATTCCGCCGAAGCTCAACTTTACTAGGGTTTTGGCCTCCTAAGGCGACACCTTAAGAACGAAGCAAAGAGAAACGTTTTGGCCTCCTATTCTAATAAGGTTCTTTTCATGGACGATCCATAAAATATTGTCGGTTGGAGCCTGGAGATGAGATGGAGCATGCCGCATGTAATTAGGAACAATGACTGTGGGCATTGTCATCGTTCGTTTCCACCAAAGTGGAGTTGAGTTTTAACCTTACGCACCATTGTTCCCACAACTGCCACCTGCAAAGCGACATGCCGCGTGATACGTCGTTGTTTGCCATCCATCCACCACTTCCCACACATCACCATTCGATGCCCTGCCGTTCACACCCACACGACTAGCGACCGACACTACAAGCTTTGTGTTCCCCTTCCCTGCCATTCTCTTTCACCGCCCTCTTTCTTCAGAGTTGTCCAGGGCTGCCGACCCAATCTAACGCCTCATCCGATGGCGAAGCCGGCTGACGGTGGTGGCGAAGAGGTTCTCGGGTCTTCCTTATGCATATTAGGATAGTAGTTGTCCTAGTTAATCTTGGCATCATGTCGTGGTTTGGCGATATGCCGTCTGCCTTTGCTTCGTTGCCAGCGAGCTTCGTACAGAGCTTGCCTTCCTCCTCCTCTGGCCGACTTCCATGGTGGATGGTGGCGGCAGCGGGGGATTTTGTGGAAGCATCATCAATAAGCTCGGGAGAGCCCCTGGTCGGCCACATTTGGAACCATCGGTTCTTTTTCACCGTCGTGGTGCCAGGCGGATAGGAAGAGGTGGATCCGGTTGCTTCCTTCGTCGAGCTGGAGTTCTCTGGGGACTACGAGCTGTCTTGTGGATCCAGCATTTCCTTCATCCCACTGCATCAACCTCCGCCACACAAGTTGCAGATCAACAAAGGTATTGCTTCTGGTGTGCCATATTCAACTTCCAAGTGAGGCCGTTATAACCTTGCTTGTCGTTGGCAAGGTTTGTGTCGGAGACAGTGGCCGTGGAGTCTGACGAGGTTGCTACCTGCGATAGGACGCAATTGGGTCCTATTTGCAAAAAGGGAGGACCATGTTGTAATTTCTGTTTCTTTCAAGATCCTCTATGCAGTGTTGTATTAAATTTGATATGAAATGGCAGCTTCTGCCTTCGAGCCCCTACCCCTGTTCGTAAAAAAAGCAAGTTGAGGGAGAGGCCTAGCCAGATCTGGAGCCGTTACTCGAGAATAGAGCCACATGGTGCAGCAGTACCGCTGCCACATGGGTTTTTTTAGAAAAGGAGGATGACCCCTGGCCTTTGCATCTGGGTGATGCATACGACCACTTTATTAATTATTCTCACAGGACCTTACAAAGAAATACAGCAGTAAGACTGATGGATAAGTCTGTGTACTAGGGTCCTTGTGGGGCTGCAGCACATGGTCCTTGTGGCAGTTAGGAGGATAAAGTCCTGGACCATCAAGGACTGGCTGTTAGGATAGAGTTCTGTTCTTGACCATCAAGGACTGTCAGTTAGCATCTTAGACTAGCATCTTGGACTAGCATCTTAGACTGGCATCTTGGCAGCATCTTAGCATATGCCTTGGCTGGCTAGCAGCCTATAAATATGTATCCCCAACCCCTCGGGTTGGTATGGCATTGTGTGAGAAATAAACCAACGAAAATTGTCCCAACTCTCTTAGTGTCATCCACAACTATCAATGCTCAGGCTGAAAGGTCTAACAAGTGGTATCAGAGCCTCGTTAACCTGCACCCTGAGCATTTCCTGTGAGCAGCCCAAGTCGGTAGCAGCAGCTGCTCCGTCTGCCTCTGCTTACCTTCCTCCCTCCGGACTGTCGAGCAGCAGCTCGTCTTCATCAGCCTCCTCTTCACGCAACAGCCCCCCTGCAGCGAGCCATGTCTGCAGGTCGCTCTCAGCACACGGCTACCTCGAGCATGCGGCGCCGGCAAGAGGCCGAGCGCGCCGTGGCAGAGGAGCGTGAGCGAGCGGCTGTAGCAGCGGCTGCTGCGGCGGCAAGAGTGTCGAGGCTGGCTGCAGCGGAGCTGGCAGCAGCCAGAGCGGAGGTAGAAGCAGCCAGGGCGGAGGTAGAAGCAGCAGCAGCAGCAGCAGAAGCAGCCCGTGAGGCTACGGCGGATGCCAAGGCACTCCGCGGCAGCCCCGGCAGCTCCAGCAGCTCCGCGCCTGTGGACGACGGCGCCGACGCAGATCGCGCCAAAGTGGCGCAGGAGCGGACGGCGCAGTGGGCAGCCGAGCACGCCCGCGCTCCAGGTGGAGGCGCGCACCGCGACGACGGCTGCAACGACCAGGACCGCGGCCTCTACGAGGTCCGGACTGTGGTCAGGGATGTTGGTTCCAGTGTTGGGTGGCCTACCCTCACTAAAACCAACTACGTCGAGTGGGCCGGGATCATGAAGGTCAGGCTCCAGGTGCGGCGCATGTGGGAGGCAGTCCAGGACAGCAACGTCGACCACCTAGAGGATCGACGGGCGCTGGACGCCCTCATCACCGCAGTCCCGCCCGAGATGCAGTTCTCGCTTTCCAACAAGCGGACTGCCAAGGAGGCTTGGGACGCCATCGCCGCAGCACACATCGGCAGCGACCGTGCTCGCAAGTCCACCCTGCAGGCACTTCGTAAGGAGTGGGAGAACCTGGGCTTCAAGCCAGGTGAGGACGTTGATGACTTTGCTCTCCGTCTCAACACTCTGCTGCAGAAGATGGTGAAGTTTGGCGATGCCACCTACACCGAGGAGAGAGCTGTCGAGAAGCTTTTTCGGTGCATTCCCGAGAAGTACAAGCAGATGGCTCGCTCGGTCGAGTCGTTGCTGGACCTCTCCACGATGACGATCGAGGAGGCGATAGGTCGACTCAAGGTCGTCGACACCGACGAGCCACAGCCCCCCTCGGGGCCCGTCACCACCGGCGGGAAGCTGCTCCTAACTCGGGAGCAGTGGGATCCCAGCCTTGGTGACAAGAAGAAGGGGGAGCCTTCCTCCTCGACGGGCGGCCGCAAGCGTGGCAAGCAGCGTAAGGCGCAAAGAGGCCCCCCGGGCAGGGCACAAGGACGTGCCGAAGGTGACGCCCGCGGAGGCGCCAAGGACGGCGCCGCTGGCAAGCCCAGGCCGGCACAAGACAACAGTTGCCACAACTGTGGCCGGTTTGGCCATTGGGCCAATGAGTGTCGGCAACCACGACAAGGCCAGGCTCACGTCGCACAGGCGAAGGAGGAGGAGACGGCTTTGTTCATGGCGCATGCAAGCATTGAGCTACCCTCGGCGACTCCAGTCGCAAAGGCTTTCATCCACCTCGATGAGCCAAAAGCACATGCTCTTCTCGGCGATGGCTCCGGGAAGGACAAGGCTACGGGGTGGTGCCTCGACACCGGCGCCACCCACCACATGACCGGTCGAAGGGAATTCTTCGCCGAGCTCGACTCCGATGCGCGAGGCTCCGTCAAGTTCGGGGATGCCTCCGCTGTGGAGATAAAGGGCGTCGGCTCCGTCATCTTCACCACCAAGATGGGAGAGCACCGGCTGCTCACCGGTGTCTACTACATCCCCGCGCTAAGGAATTCCATCATCAGCTTGGGACAGCTGGATGAGAACGGCTCACGCGTGCTGATTGAGCATGGGGTCCTACGCATCTGGGATCGCCAGCGTCGCCTTCTCGCCAAGGTGCCCAGAGGTGAAAATCGACTCTACGTCCTTAATGTGCAGGTGGCACAACCGGTCTGTCTCGCTGTCCGTCGAGACGACGAGGCGTGGCAGTGGCATGAGCGCTTTGGGCACCTTCACTTTGAGGCCCTGAAGCGTCTAAGTGCCAAGGAGATGGTGCGAGGCCTGCCATGCCTCGACCATGTGGAGCAGTTCTGCGACATCTGCGTACTGACAAAGCAGAGACGAGTCCCCTTTCCCCAACAGGCGAGTTTTCGGGCTAAGGAGAAGCTGGAGCTCGTGCACGGAGACTTGTGCGGCCCGGTGACGCCAGCCACACCAGGAGGTCGACGCTACTTCCTGCTGCTCGTCGACGATCTCTCCCGCTACATGTGGGTGATGATCCTCGGCA